TATATATATATATATATATATTTTTACATTAAATGTCAACATAGATACCAAAGTGAAACTCTAAATAACAAAAAGATCTAAGATACTGGATTTAAGTTTTAATAATTGTCAAATGAGGGTTTACGTGAGCTCATGAAGCGGTAGACTAAGACTCAAACTTGTAAGTGCTTACCAAAAATAAAAATTAATATTACAAATATATTAATAACATATATATATATATATATAATATAATATAATATAATATAATATAATACTCTTACACTTAGTATTAATTCAAAATTTCAATTTCATACTAAAGCAAAGTAGCAAACTATGAAATGACCAAATTATATATAAATTCTTAAGAACAAAAGTTACTGAAGTGAAAAAATTTCAACAAAAAAGGTTAATTTCTTCTTTGAGCCACGATAAAAGAGTACCTACAAGTGAAAAAATTACATTTAATTTCACACTCATTCATTCACTTCTTAAGTTTATGTGAGTTTACATGAGTTTATCTGATATTACTTTTGTTTATTCATAAAAGAGTTTGACAATGAGTTAGCTTGTTTTTTCTACCTAAAATTGAAAAATTCTGAGAGTGTGATAGTTAACTCGAGAATTTAACATCCATGTTTGTGATGGATATAATTTCTGGATTCATATGAAACAGTGCATGACATGGTTTCAAATGTTGCAATTTCCTAGAATACGTAAATGAACTGGTAGAAGCTGATAAAGAAGGGGGGAAGATTTTTTGTGAAGGGACATTCTTGAATCCTGGATCATGGGATGCTGCCCTTCTTGCTGCTGGGACTACCCTGTCTGCAATGAAGCATTTACTGGATGGGAATGGAAAAGTTGCTTATGCGTTGGTTAGACCCCCTGGTCACCATGCTCAGCCTTCTCAGGCTGATGGCTACTGTTTCCTTAACAATGCAGGTTTAGCAGTACAATTGGCTTTAGATTCTGGGTGTAAGAAGGTTGCAGTTGTAGATATTGATGTTCATTATGGAAATGGCACAGCAGAGGGGTTTTATCGATCTAATAAAGTTCTTACCATCTCTCTTCATATGAATCATGGATCATGGGGTCCATCTCATCCACAAAGTGGAGCTGTTGATGAGCTAGGTGAAGGAGAAGGTTATGGCTATAACTTGAACATTCCTCTACCAAACGGAACTGGTGACAAAGGATATGTATATGCCTTCAATGAGTTGGTCGTTCCATCAATAGAAAAGTTTGGGCCTGATATGATAGTTTTGGTTGCTGGACAAGACTCTAGCGTAGTAAGTTATTATATTTATCATTTTTTGCGGTTCCCAATCCTTTCTTTGCATCTAATTGCCAAGATTATATTTGGACATGATTTCCTGCACTCAGATAAATTAAAATCTGATAAGATACTGGCACATGAATTCAAGGGACGGATATAGTTTTGATATGAAAACAAAGACAAATGCAATGGAAACAGACAGATAGAATGAGTGTTTAAAAAAGATTAGGGAGTTTGATACCCTCCATCAATCCAAAAGTGGAAAAATGTTTTGCTGAATTTTGAACAATGGACATAAATTCTCAACTGGTCAAGTTATTATGATCTGTTAATATGATAATCCCAAAAGTATACATGTCATGTTTCTGTAAATGGTTATTTGAAAATGGCAAATCTCACAATAGTTTTTTAGGTTCTCTTTGTTTTGAAAAAGAATTACATGTGGGTTTCTTCATGATTTATTTAACAAAAGAGTAAATTACACTGATAACTCTTTAGATTTTGCAAGATTACAGATAAATTTCCTGTTTTTTCTACTCGTACCCTAACTTCTTTTAACTGTTTGAAAAACATGATACATATACTTCTTAAATATTATATTAATTTTCATTAATTGTTCGAAAAACATTGTGCTGTGTTTCTTATAAGAGATGTTGCTTAAAACATTAAAAAAGAGAGAAGATCATGTGTACTCTCACGAAATTTTGCAGTGCTTGTGTAATTTACTCTTTAATGAATGGTAGCTCTGATCTGAGGGTGATTAACTGATTATACGAAAAAGACACAGTACTGATGTTTAGGTATTTATTTATTTATTATTATTAACGGTTTTGAACTTTTTGACCAGGACAAATAGGCAATGTTATAACTAGGCAATCCTTCCAACAATTGCCTTTTACTATTGGTCATTAGTTTATAGCATGTTATAAATAATTAAATGTTTCCTTTCCTTTCTATCACACAAAGATTGATTGCATGAAAATTAGAGCAATTGCACCAATATCTTCCTTAACAAAAACCTTTAATCTGCATCATTTTTCCTTCACGTAAAGAATTGGGAAAGAAACTTCTTGTATATGACTTGATGTGACAGCAATTAACAGTCTAATTACATGATTCACACTTATTTTTGTTGGACTGGATTAATCCCCCTAAATGTTTGCTTCAAGGTTATGGAATTTAAAAAAGTTGCATTTACTAACATTATATCCTGCATGTGCCTCCACAGTTTGATCCTAATGGAAGGCAATGCTTAACCATGGAGGGCTACAGAGAAATTGGGCGGATTTTTCATCTTCTTGCAACAAGGCACAGTGATGGACGCCTTCTAATTGTCCAGGAAGGTGGATACCATATCTCATATTCTGCATATTGTTTACATGCCACACTTGAGGGGGTTCTCAACCTACCAAAGCCTCTACTACCAGATCCTATTGCTTATTACCCAGAAGACGAGACATTTCCTGTCAAAGTTATAGAAGCCATTAAAAGTTATCAAAAAGATAAAGTGCCCTTGTGGAGAAACTCATGAGATACTTCTTCCAAAACCTTATGCCCATGTTTGATTATTGGTAAAAAAAACTATTAGAGATAAGAAGGGTTAATATTTATCATGTATGCTATTTTATATTTCTACCTATAAAATGTCACATCAATAAAATATACTATTTTATAATAGGGTATAGTGTGAACATAAAAATAACTAGTGTAAAAATATAAGTTATTTTGGCATATAAAAGTGGATAACTTGCACCACATCCAAAGTAAGGGGAACCGTAATTAGTGGAGGCCTGTTAGTGGCACTAATTGAATCTATATATGATGTTGAGGCAATTTTGATCTTGGAGGAACCGTAGAAAAGAAAAAGGTGTAAACAGACATGTCGGCTATATATGATGCAATCTGGTATGAATGAGGATTGCGGGATATGAGTATACTTGGCTTGATTTGACAAAGCATGATTACATGAATGAAGATGGTGTCAAAACAGAAACATAGGCATTACAATTTTTTAGTGACTAATAAAACAGGTTTCGCTTCACCTAAAACCTGGTCCACTCGTGATGTAAATTAGATATTTTCAGGTTAGGCTTTGAAAAATTGTGCCTGATTGGCGCCGCCGATAGTGGACTGAAGATTTGAGCTCTCTCACACAAACGAAAAATGGTTAACTAGTCGTTTCTTATGATTTGATCAATGCAAATTCTTTATACCAACTATATTGTATACATCCCTTGATTCCGATTTATTTTGTGCATCATTCTACTTACTTAAATCTATATTATTTGCACAATACCAGTCACCAGGGTATTATTATTTGGGCATATTAGGCCATTGTTGGATGCTGCACCAACGTACGTAGAGAATTTCCATAACCCAATATTGTTTTAATAATCACAACTTGGATTGTGTTATGCATCTTGACTTTAAATCTTCCTATAATTAGGGATAAGATTGAACTAACTGAACGGTTTCGCCCATTCACATGGTATTTTTAGGCAACTTGCTATGCAACAATGCTTTCTTAGTATAAGATACCTAAAGTTACTTCGAATGCTAAACTAAAGTTAAATAATATGCTTTTTGGAATAGTAATTTTAAAGTTGAGATAGTATATGTCTAGTGAAGTAAACTTTCTCACATTATAAAATTGTTGATATCTTTAATTAGTAACTCAAAATTCCTCCTTCCAATTAATCAAGTTGCAATGTCTTGTGAGTAGTGGCAAAAACTTCTCTAAACCCCAACCTCAAGTTAAATTACAATATAATGTACTATGGTGCAAAATTCTCTTTCTTCTTCCACCTATGTCTTTGCAGAATCAATTTCCGTTAGCATATGCATGCGTAGGTCTTTATTCCAAGTAGCATAATAGAAATAAATTTTTAAAATGCATCAATTAATTTATTGCAAGCGGGCCATTCTTTAAAGCCAGATTTACATCCTTCTTGTGGTTGATATTTATCGCTCATTTTTTAATTTGAGCTCTGAAAATGCCTTAATACCTATCTTCGGGGATATCCTAAAGTCAAATAATTGTCTTATATATATATATATATATATACACTAATACATAAATGACATGGGAAACAAATGAAGTTTTTTAAACAAGAGAATGTAGGTAAGGTAAATGTTGGATTCCATTTCTGTTTGTAATCTTTAATTGGCAAGTCATTTGTATAATATCACTGCAAATTCTAACAATAGATTATGAAATGTCTTGATCTTAGAAGTTAGAAAAATAAAATCCTATGGTCTCTACCTACCAAAATAAAAATAAAAGTATTCTCCATCACCAAAAGAGCAAAACAGTGAAAAATTATTCAACAACCGAGTAAGTAATTTTACTCAAACAAAAAATTATGGCAAAGCAAATAGAATAGTAGCATTTTGGGCAAGCAACTATCTGCGGAGCGACATTAGCGGAGAACTTTACTAAAGTGACCCGCCACAACAATACCACGTGATCACAATCAAAGCCTACACATTCCATAGAACTTTCCTAACCAGGGGCCCCACCGTTTGTTTGTGTCTTTCGGTTTTGCATGCCGACGACCGCAATATCATCCGTTACTAAAACATGACCAAGTTGTCTTCTGTTTTGACCATGCCTTGAGAATGTAACCTCCAATTGGATTCTTTTTTAGATCTATAGTATCTACCAAGTCTTGCGTGTAAAAAAAATTTGAAAATTTTACATTCAAGATAGTCCGTAATTAAAAAAAAAAATCCCAAGCAAGATCTCCCATGACCCACATAATTCCTACATGGAGCACTGTCATCCACTTGCTGGTTGTTAATCACAATAAATGGGACAAAATGATTATTAACTTCTTTGATTCTTCCTTTTACTACGCCTTCCATTTTTTAATACAAATCACAGCCAACCAAACCAATGGTAAGAGGCAAAAAGAAAAAAGAAAAAAAAAAAAAAAAAAAAAAAAAAAAAAAAAAAAAAAAAAAAAGAGAAAAGAGGGTTTGGAATTTGGAGAGAGGATCCATTTTCCAGTCATGGTGGAGTGCTCTGACACTTTGTTTATGCTTCTTTCCTTCCTTCGTGAAATGTGAAAAAGTTGAAGACACTCCACATTCCTCATTCCCATCCCTGTCCTTTTCTCAATTTTGGGACCTTCCATTTTTTCTCTCAGCCATTCAACATTTTCTCAATAAAAAACCTTTGTTTTTGCCTCTTTCTAGGTAAGAGTAACTACCAAACACACTTTCACACTCACTCACACTCTATGTCAGGTTTGTTACTATGTTTCATTCTAACTTCTAAGCTTCTCATTTTTCCAGGTCTTGTAGCTAGTGTCCCGTTTTGGTGTCAGATATATATGGGGTTCTGAGTTTACTGGGAAAGTTCCTATATTGATACTGTCTTTGGTGGTTTTTTTCTTTTGTCCTAGGCTAAGCATGGAAGGTGTTCAGATAGAAGTCTTTATCTTGTTTTGTTTTGGTCTAATAATTACAATGAGTTATGGTGCTACCAACACAAATGATGTCAAAGTTTTGAATGATTTCAGAAAAGGGTTGGAGAATCCAGAGCTTTTGAAATGGCCAGAGGAGGGAGATGATCCTTGTGGTCCTCCTTTATGGCCTCATGTTTACTGTTCTGGAGATAGAGTCAACCAGATTCAGGCTAAGAATTTGGGGCTTAGAGGGTCATTGCCTCAAAACTTTAACCAACTGTCAGAACTCTACAATTTGGGTCTCCAACGCAACAACCTTAGTGGGATGTTGCCAACTTTTAGTGGATTATCCAAATTGGAATTTGCTTTCTTGGATTATAATGCATTTGATGCAATACCAGCTGATTTCTTTAATGGACTTAGCAGCATTAGGGTCTTGTCTTTGGAAGAAAATCCACTGAATACAAGTAGTGGGTGGTCGTTTCCCATGGCTTTAGAAAAATCAGAGCAGTTAACCAATCTTTCTCTGGTGCATTGTAACTTGGTTGGACCATTGCCTGATTTTCTTGGCACATTGCCATCCCTCACAAATCTAAGGCTTTCAGGAAACAAGCTGTCTGGTGCCATTCCAGCTACTTTTGCTCAGTCTTCAATTCAGGTGTTGTGGTTGAATAATCAAGAAGGTGGTGGGTTGAGTGGTCCTATTGATGTTATTGCTTCAATGACTTTTCTAAGACAGGTTTGGCTACATGGAAACCAGTTCACTGGAACAATTCCACAGAATATCGGAAATCTTACTTCCCTGCAGGAACTAAATCTCAATAGTAATCAACTTGTTGGCTTGATTCCTGAGTCCCTAGAACATATGGACCTTGAGATCCTAGTGTTAAATAATAACATGCTAATGGGTCCAATACCAAAATTTAAGGCTGCCAATGTTTCTTATGCTAACAATTTCTTTTGTCAACCTGAACCAGGGCTTGAATGTGCCCCTCAAGTTACTGCACTGCTGGATTTTCTGGATAAGCTGAATTACCCTTCATCTCTCGTTTCTGATTGGGTTGGTGATGAACCATGCACACGCAGCACAGGTAATTGGTTTGGATTGAGCTGCAATTCAAACTCAGAGGTGTCTATTATCAATCTACCTGAACACAAGCTAAATGGTACTCTAAGTCCCTCACTTGCTAAGATAGATTCACTCCTAGAAATTAGGCTTGAAGGAAACAACATAACCGGCTCAGTTCCCACCAATTTTACCAAATTAACATCTTTGAGATTGTTGGATTTAAGTGATAACAACCTTGTGCCTCCAATGCCAAAATTTCATAATGATGTGAAGGTTATTATTGGGGGAAACCCTCTTCTTCCTAATCAAACTAATGGAAGTCCCAGTCCGATGCCTATTAGAAGCCCACCTTCACCACAAAATCCATCCTCTCATGAGCCATCTGTTCCAGATCAGAGTTCAAGATCAAATCAATCCAAACCAAGTGACTTGAAAAGATTTAAAACAGTAGCAATAGTGACTGGAGTTGCAGGGTTTGCAGTTATAGCTCTTTTGGTTGTTTATCTCTTCCTATGTTGCAGGAAGAACAAAAAGTCCTCCTTGGATGCACCAAGTTCCATTGTGGTTCACCCACGTGATCCATCTGATCCAGATAACATGGTTAAAATTGCAGTTTCAAATACCACTGGAAGTTTGTCAACAAAGACTGGGACAAGTTCTCTTAGTAACATTAGTGATGAAACTCAAAACTCTCACATGATTGAGGATGGCAACCTTGTCATCTCTATACAAGTACTACGCAAGGTTACCAATGATTTTGCCTCAGAAAATGAGCTTGGTCGTGGAGGGTTTGGAACTGTTTACAAGGGGGAACTAGAAGATGGGACAAAAATTGCAGTGAAGAGAATGGAGCATGGGGCTATTAGCAATAAGGCATTGGAAGAGTTTCAAGCTGAAATAGCTGTTCTTTCCAAGGTCCGGCATCGACATCTGGTATCCTTGTTGGGGTATTCCATTGAAGGCAATGAAAGACTTTTGGTTTATGAATATATGTCTCTTGGTGCTCTAAGCCAGCATCTTTTTCATTGGAAAAGCTTGAATTTGGAGCCTTTGTCTTGGTCACAGAGACTTGCAATAGCACTAGATGTTGCTAGAGGGATGGAGTACCTCCACAGTCTTGCACGCCAGACCTTTATTCATCGAGATCTCAAGTCTTCTAATATTTTATTGGGTGATGATTTTCGAGCTAAAGTTTCAGATTTTGGATTGGTGAAGCATGCCCCGGATAGTGAGAAGTCTGTAGTGACCAAACTTGCTGGGACATTTGGATACCTTGCCCCTGAATATGCAGGTATTAAAATAACGACTTCCTTTTGACCATGATGTAATTGTAGAAATTTAGCATTGACTCCATGAATCATTATACGTTCTCTACATACATACCAGCATGTAGTTTCTGTTAATTTATATTCAATTACATTGTTCTTATAATGAAAACATCTTAGTAACGTGCAGAATGTCTCTTTCTGTGTTTGCATTTGAAAGACTATATGTTAACAAAAAAATGCAACCTCATCACATGTCACAATGTTTCAAAATTTGTGAGCAATACGATCCTTGTATGATTGTATCCCTTGTCTAATAGTTGATTCAGACCATTGCATCATACTCATAAATGTGTGATATCTTATGATTATAATCTATATCTCTTTCAGTATTCTCAGTTTGATGCACCTAGGTTTGCAAACTAAGTTTCCTTGTGTTTCAGTGATGGGGAAAATCACCACAAAAGTTGATGTGTTCAGCTATGGTGTGGTGCTGATGGAACTTCTGACCGGACTTGTGGCACTTGATGAGAGCCGGCCAGAGGAAAGCCGGTACTTGGCTGAATGGTTTTGGCGAATTAAATCAAGCAAGGAGAAGCTTATGTCTGCCATTGATCCGGTTCTGGAAGCAACTGAAGAGACTTTTGAGAGCATAACCATTGTGTCTGAACTTGCTGGACACTGCACTGCAAGGGAAGCACATCATAGGCCAGATATGAGTCATGCAGTGAATGTCCTGTCAGCATTAGTGGAAAAGTGGCAGCCAGTTGATGATGAATTAGATTACTACTCTGGCATTGACTACACAAGACCACTTCCTCAAATGTTGAAGATTTGGAAGGAAGCAGAAAGCAAAGAGTTTAGCTATGCTTCTACTTCTAGTCTTGAAAACAGCAGAGGCAGTATTGCAGCTAGGCCTCTTGGGTTTGCAGACTCTTTTACTTCTGCTGATGCAAGATGATCTAGCGCAATTTGTGGACCCTGTTGCTTTGTCATTGATCAAATTTACTTGGACTCACCTTGTGTTTCTGCAGCCATGAGGCAAAAATTATGTCTCTGGTCTTTGACTCTTTGTATTGTTTTTGGACTTACAATACTTCAAAATACCATAGGAATGTAGATAAATATATTTTCCTTTTCTCTTTATGTGGCCTTGTATACAGGAAAATCAATTTATATTTGATAATCTGTGTGACAAGTCATTCATGTACGTTGTGCTATCCATGTTAGTATAGGAGGTTGATTATTGTACTGAAATGCTTAGCAAAATATTTAATATCTCCTAAGAGTTGCCTATTTTCTGCCTACTTGGATAAATTAAATATGGTGACACACTATGTTTTTAGGTCAACCCTTTGAAGCATCTGAAGTGTTTTTTTGTTCTAATTGAATCTTTCTGACAACTACTGGATTGTTAAGCCACTTGTACCTGTGTTATATCCCACCCCAGCATTTTTTTCCCAAAAGAGATCTAAGGTTTTAATATGGAGAAGCTGATTGTTGGGTAAAATTGACGCTACATCCTTATTGACGATGCTATCCTATTCTCTACGAAACTTTGAGTTTGATAGCATTTAACTCGAAACTAAATTTTAGATTGTTGATCATGCCGGCATCTACGGCTACTTTAGAAATATAACCTGTCATGTTTAAGCATATTTTACACGCTACGTTTGCACTACTTTTTTCTTCATTCAATTAGTAGAGTTGTATGGAAATTTTGGAAATAGGCTGAAAAGGCTCAAGAAGAAATGAAAGAAAATTGTTTTTCTCCTTGTTTGGAATGTTAATAAGGCTATGAAACAGGATTTATTATTTTATTTGAATGTAAAATTGTAATAAAGAATATTAAACGCATGCATCTACATGTACATTATTTCACATTTACCCTAACCATACCTAATCAATTTTAAATTATTTTTACGCATCCATGTTCTGATTTTTATAATCTCCCACGAACATGAAATTATGTTGTACCTGAACTGCAGATACGCTGGTTCAAAAACTAATAATGTAAACAAAAACATTCTGGTTGTGTTCTCCTTCCTTATTTATACGAACAAAAATATAGAACAGTAATCCCAAAGATTTTGATTTGCGAGAATGATCCTTCCTGCGTGTACAGCTACGCCAACTAAGCTTCCTCCAAAACCACCTTCACCGATTACACTTCCAAACCAAACTCACTCCACTTTTTCTTCTTCTAACTCCAACACCAACACCAACACCAACCAAAGCCTCTCCCTAAGACACGCCACAAAGTACACAGATCCCATTGTAACATGGACATCCTCCATAGCTCATCACTGCAAAAGTGGTCATTTGGTCAAAGCTGCCTCCGAATTCGTGCGAATGAGAGAAGCTGACATTGAACCCAATTACATTACTTTCATCACACTTCTCTCTGCCTGTGCCCATTACCCCTCAGAAAGAAGTATCTCCTTTGGAACTACCATTCACGCATACACATGCAAATTGGGGTTGCACGTAAACGATGTCATGGTGGGCACTGCGCTCATTGACATGTACGCCAAATGCGGTCGCGTGGATTCCGCTAGGTTGGTATTCGATCATATGGGTATCAGAAATTTGGTTTCTTGGAATACCATGGTTGATGGGTACATGAGGAATGGAAGAATTGAAGATGCACTCCAAGTGTTTGATGGTTTGCCTGTGAAGAATGTTATTTCTTGGACTGCGCTGATTGGTGGGTTTGTGAAGAAAGATTATCATGAGGAAGCTCTAGAGTGCTTTCGAGAAATGCAGCTGGCTGGTGTGGAACCTGATTATGTAACTGTTATTGCTGTCATTGCGGCGTGTGCCAACTTGGGCACACTCGGTCTTGGCTTGTGGGTACATCGATTTGTGATGACTCGGGGTTTCAGGAACAATGTTAGAGTTTCCAACTCGTTGATAGATATGTATTCTCGATGTGGATGCATAGAACTTGCTCGACAAGTGTTTGATAGAATGCGCCATCGAACCTTGGTGTCGTGGAACTCGATCATCGTGGGTTTTGCTGTTAATGGGCTTGCGGATGAGGCTTTGAGTTACTTCAATTCAATGCAGAAGGAAGGGTTTGAGCCAGATGGAGTCAGTTACACAGGTGCCCTCACGGCATGCAGTCATGCTGGACTGATTGATGAGGGACTCAGAATCTTTGAAAACATGAGGAGAGTTCGTAGAATTCTGCCTAGAATCGAGCACTATGGTTGCCTAGTGGATCTCTACAGTAGAGCAGGGAGGTTAGAGGAGGCTCTGAATGTATTGAAGAATATGCCCATGAAACCAAATGAAGTTGTTTTGGGGTCATTGCTCGCTGCTTGTAGAACTCGAGGAGACATTGGATTGGCTGAAAACGTGATGAATTTTCTCATTGATTTGGACCCAGGGGGAGAATCCAATTATGTGCTTCTTTCTAACATATACGCAGCGGTTGGAAAGTGGGATGTTGCAAACAAGGTTAGAAGGAGAATGAAGGAGCGTGGCATACAAAAGAAACCAGGCTTTAGTTCCATTGAGATTGACTCCAGCATTTACAAATTTGTAGCTGGTGATAAATCTCACGAGGAGAACGACCACATTTATGCAGCATTGGAGCTTCTCTCCTTTGAGCTGCAATTATGTGGCTATGCTCCCGATTTATCAGGGAAAGAATCTTATGAGGGTGATTAAATTTTGTAATTGAATTCCACAATCACACAGTTAGGTAACGAACCTGTTAATTCAGTTCAAGAAAGTAACTGATTATACAAAAGTACTCTTTGTACAAGTATACCAAGCTAGAAAAGTACTCTTTTATACCAAGATCGAAACGAACCTTCTTTTATAAGTATATATACCAGTCAAAATTGTTTATCATTAACTGGGAAATAAATTGGAAGACATGACCATGATCTAAAGTGTCCAACATATATAACGAAAGAATGATTATAAGATTAAAACTACGGCCATTCATGAACCCAAGGTTGTTGATATCGCGGGAAATTACTAATAAATGTGACTGGTACGGTCATGGTAGCCTCAAAATTGCAGATGTGGACTAATTTTTAAAACCTTGGACCAACATGCATATCCTTAAGTTGCATGTCTTCTCATGAGCAAATACCACGTACGTAATAAACTCAAATTGACGATGCAACAATCAGTTCCCTTCCATAAACCTTCTCTGCTACTCTCTCGGCCACCTCAACCTTCCCATGAGTTTTACAGGCTCCCAACAAGGCACCCCACAAAGCTTCATCAGGCTTAACCTCCATTCTCAAAATCAACTTCTCTGCTTCCTCCACCCGGCCAGCCCTCCCCAACATATCCACCATGCACGTATAATGTTGCAGCGCAGGTTTAACCCCAAACCTCACCTCCATCATCTCAAAATACCGTCTCCCCTTGTCTATAAAACCTCCATGACTACATGCACTCAAAACCACAGTAAAAGTCACACCATCTGGCTTCTCCCCCGCCTCCACCATTCTATCAAACAGCTCAAACACCTCATCACATTTCCCATGCATTCCGTAACCTGCCATCATTGTCGAAAACGTAATCTCATTTCTTTTCCACATTCCATCAAACACCTTGCGTGCCCAAGCCAAGTGTCCGCACTTGGCATACATGTTTATCAAAGCATTCGAATTTGCCAAATCTAACGCAAACCCATTAACGAAAACAGCCCCATGGACCTGTTTCCCAATCCTCAAAGAAGATAAGCCAGCGCAAGATTTCAGCACCACGGGTAGGGTGTGACGATCAAAGGGTTTATCCGCAAGAAGCATTCGGCGAAATATGGAGAGGGATTGTGAGAACAAGTTGAGAGAAGAATGAGCTCTGATGAGAGAGTTGAAGAGGAAAGTAGGTTGGCGAATGGCGAAGTTGAAGAGAATATTGGCTTCGTGCAATTGGGCACAACAAGCGTAGCAAGACACAAGCTTGCTTCGAATGAAGTCATTGCGTGAAATGCCTAAGGTGATGGTTATCGCGTGTATTCGTTTTAGATTCTTTAAGTGCTTCGAGGAAGAACAAGCGTCGAGAAGTGAAGCGTAGAAAGGCACTAGTTCGTGAGGTTTAGCCATCACCTTAACAAATCACATGCACAACACAACAGTGACTGTTTTCAACTTTATTATGTAAGAATATTTTATTAATGAATAATATAATTATTAAACTTATATTAATGTGGGCAGAGAATAATTTACCGAATTTGGTTACGGGTTGCGGGTACTTTTTGCCCCATTATTGGATTTGTTCAAATTGTTGTATTGGGTTGGATGTTAGGGTATTTTTTGAAAATGGAAATGATTCGCTTGCGTCACCTTGGTGACATTGCTGTCATGTCTAAACTGTGACCCGCATCAGCATAGATATGAATAGAAGCTCTAGGTTAGTTATTACAGAGGCAGATACATATTTTTGTAGTATTCCGGTGAAAGGAGCCACAGCACATCATGTCACTGTTCTTCATGTCCAATCCATGAATGAGCTGTGCGGATAATATTTTTTAGCACATAAAAATTGGCATCACAAATACCACTCACTGCAAACTCCGTATACATCATATTTCATGGGTTTTAGTTAACTTCGTTTAAACTTGCTTTTTCTAGAGGAGATATGATTCCAGCCCCTAAAGAGTGCATGTGTTAAATACTGCTTAATTAACATAAATGGGTCCAGAAATTACATGAGACATGTTCTACTACATGTCAAAACTAAAGTACTGATGAACTAGAGCACCGATAAACATACACTTCAAGATGGGGTGGATGAACAAAGAGATGAAAAAAATAACATAACAAAAGAAAGTAAACATATATTTATATTTATTGAACAAACTTATGTTATGCCTAATAGGTAGATATTTAGGCTGATAACAAATACCAGGAAGAGCACAGAAACAGGTTCCATCATAAAGTTTAAGGGGTTTGAGGCTTTTTGGGGTTGACACCGTTATGATGCAGTGGGTCTGGACCTGAAGGAACCTTCCTCAACTCCCAACTTAGTGGCTTTTCACCATACTTGATGCTTTGTGATGATCCTCGCAGACTAGCCTTCAGAGTAGCTTTCTTATCCTTCAAAGACAGCATCTGCACAAACAGATGAAGTTATAGTAATGTAGTACACATCCAATACCCCAGAAACTTTATATGTACCACAAAAGGATCTTTCTACGTTATAATCATATGAAAACCACGTGAGAAAAAAAGAGAGAAAACCCCTATGAAGCTCGAACCACATATATGTTATGTAGTGCAACCTATGTTAGAGTCACAGACCTTAAGCTTCCTGTGTGGAATCTCCCTAAGACCAGCAGCATCAGCACCAAAGCATTCATATGCAGAACTGCAACCTGGCAATAAACAAAAAATTAAGCAAATAGCAACACACGTGAATAAAACAATGCACAATCTTATTCAATTAATATATATTTGTCCCTCTAAATATGGAGACATCTTTGGTAAAGATGATGTGGAAGTATACTTAGATTGGGAGATGAAAGTTGAGCAACTCTTTGCTTGCCACATGGTAAGTGAAGAGAGAAAAGTCCCTCTGGCTACCCTTAGCTTCCAAGGGCATGCCATGTATTGGTGGACTACTCTAAAGAGAGAGAGACGCCTCCACAATGATCCTCCAATTCAATATTGGAATGATCTCAAAAGTTCTATGAGGAGGAGGCACATACCCACCTACTATGGGAGGGAGCTTATGAATAAGCTCCAAAGTCTCCAACAAAGAGACATGTTTATATCATCTTATAATAGTGAATTTGAGGCTAACTCAATTCTACAAAATCGGCTTGTAAGATAAGGGTTATTTTCTATTTACATACTATTTAATTGTCTAATCTTTAGTCGATGTGGGACTTGAATTTTTTCTAATACTTTTTAATATTATTTTTGGAAACAACAAATTGGGTGAGGCCCACAAAGTAAAAGGTCGATGGATCAAATCTAGGTACATAAAAGAAATCTAAATAAACTAATTTAAATTTAAAATCGAACTACACTATTTTTAAAAAAAAATATAATCAGTTTTTTAAAAAAATTAACCCGCATTATTTACATAAAATAAATTTTAAAATAATAAAATAAAATAAAATCAAAATAATTAACTTATGTCTGATATTAAACAAATTGATCTGATAAGTTGATGTTATTAGATTCCTAATGTATTCTCTTAGAGGAGAAAGGAAATTAAGAAATCTGAACACAGCTTTCAGGTGCTGAAAGTCTTTTTCTTTACGTTGAATATAAAGACAAAGACAAGGACTTTCTTAAACAATTGTTATGTTAATTACTCCATCCGTGTTATAATAATTGTCATTAAGAGAAATTAATAAATAAATAAAAGAAAATAGAAATTTTACAAAACTAACATAATTACTCCCTTTTTATAATAGGTGCTGAAAGTCTTATTTCTTAACGTTGAATGTAAAGATAGTAGTACTTTCTTAAAAATTGCTATCTTAATTACTCTATCCAACTTATAATAATAAGTATTATTTTTTTATATTCTATAAAACTAAGGGAAAAATGATAATTAAATAGATAAAAAAATGGTAATTTTATAAAACTAGACTAATTACTCCCTCTATGACTCTAGTTTTAATATTTAAAAACATTTAAAAGTAATAATATTCTCACTTTTTAATATAATATTAATTAATTTTCTTATAATTATAACGCCTCTTCATTTATTTTTTTTAAATATCAGAATTAATGTATTTATTGACATAATAAATTATTTTAGTAAAATTGTATAAAAATATACATTTATTATTATCCTTAATATGTATGTAAAAACTTTAAACTACAATAATCGTGAAATGAAGAGAGTATTAATTTTCTTTATTAAAAACGATCAACATAACAACAATTTTCTAAAGAATAAAACTTCCTTCCTTTTATTTTTTTTTAATGTTTTGTTTGATAATTTTAATTTGTTTCAATTTGATTGTCGTTTTACAATATCATGTAACATTATATTTTTTTTCCTATTATATACCTTAGTGATTATTAATGCATTCTTTAATTAGTGTGTTGTTTTTCTTCTTCAATACTTATTTTATTGGCGGAAATTCAAAAGGCTTAATGATATATTATAATTTTTTATATGAAATCAGACATTAATTATTTTTAATGTTTGTGTCAAAATTTTAAATGTCAAACTAAAAGAAACGAAGGAAGTAATATAAAGGAAAATGTATCTGCACCTATTAAGAAATCAAAAGAATTTTTTTTATTGACAAATGTATTGGCACATTCTACTATGTAATTTTATTTAGCAAAATCTTATTAGGAATATAAGTGGAAAAGGAGCACTTTCTCCATCCTATGATAAGTGTTTGAAGAAAAAATAAGTCCTAAAATAATTGTCATGATAATTTTTCAATGTAGTATTAGTTACCTTTTTTCATTTATATCCCTTGTAATATTTTTTAAAAAGTGATTATTGTGTTGCATCATTTATAGCAAAGAAGATTAATTATAAGATTAATTTTGTAAAATTATTATTCTCTTTTATCTACTTGATAGTTTTTCTTAATATATGTAAAACAATATAGGATGATACTTATTATGAAACGGAAGAAACTACTACCTCTAACCCTTATTTTGAGTAACATAGCACAAATCATTAAGACAAAAAAAAATTAATATGGTTATTTTTAACGAATTCTAGAATAATTTTTTATTCCAAATATACCATTTACTTTAAGTGGTTGTTGATGAAACTAGTTTGAAGATGAATGATGTTTCTCTTCAACTAGCTTCAATGTGTGTTTAATCTTCTTCTATGAATCTTTAAAGTTCAAAGAAATCAGCCAATAATGGAAGGAGAAGGAGGTAGAATTGCACTACATCAAAATGTAGATGAGCAAGAGAGGAAAAACATGTCACAAGGAGAAATTTCTTGATAAAAATTTGTAAGGAAAGAATTTCTCCAAAAGAGAGAACTAGACTTTTGGTCCCTTGACATGATGTCATCAATTGTCATATTTAATATTAGTTATAAGTAAATGCATAATAGAGTTGACAATAAATGAAGGATATAAAAGAGATTTAATCCTGAATAACTTTAAAAGTTAATGATTGTTGTTTATAATTAATAAAAAAATAAAAAAATTGTTACTTAGAATTAAGGCAAGATATAATAATAATATTGAAATACTAAAATGACACTTATTTAAAAAAAAATTGTCACACTTATTGTGTGATGAAGGGAATACTATTTTTTTACAAAGCTTTCAAAGCATCATACTTGTTATTATCTTTCTTTCATTCCTATTTATAAGATCCAACTTAAAATAATTGCTTCTTTTTATTATATTGTCTTATTTATTAATTATTTTTAGACTAAATATTTCAATTAAAGTGTGTTTTCTTAATTTGATAAAATGCATTAATTATAAAATTTTTAAATAACAAACACTCTAATTAATTAGGAGAAAGATGAGTCTTAATTAGGAGAGAAAAATAATATAGAACAACCATTCTAATTTTTCAGAAAATATATGAATATTAATTAGAAAAGAGAAGTAATATAAGAATAATATTTTAAAATATATATACAAATAAAATAACTTTATTATTATTGTGAGACCCCCGTACGGACTTCCTTTCTTCCCCAACTCTCTTACTCTCTAACTCTCATTTTCTCCTTACTCACTCTTGTACCTTGGGTCTCATTCTTCACTCTCTTCATTTTGCTGATTCAAGGTGGTAGTGCGGAGTAGTTGTGGTTTCCTAGCTGAGTTACGGAATCTTCTTTTCTCCTCCTTTAGATTTTTCAAGTTCTTCTTCAACCCTCTTCTCCAATTTCTTCATCCCGAAGCTCGGAATCTTCTACCGAGGTAAGGGAAGCTAGTTATTTTGGCTGTTTTTGACGTGGAATGAGTCTTCGATACTCTTATGCTGTTTGCCAATGGATGATTTCTGGCTGAGATCGATTAAAATTGAATTTTTGGAGTTTTCGGAACTTTGAAGAAATTTTGGGGTTTTTGATGATTTTTGTTTGCATGTTGAAAATGAGCTGGGCATAAAAGCATAAGTAAAACGACGACAGTGGTGAAGATTAACTTTGATGCCATTGGAGAAAAATCTTGTGCACTGATAGAATAGAGAATGAAGGTAGCTAAGCTAGGGGTGCAAGTTGCAAGGTGAAGAACAAGTTTTGTTTTGTGAGGTGAAGAAGAGGATGGTAATGCACGTATTTATAGCGGTGTGATTCAAGGATTAGAATGATGGCTCATGCAGCCATTTGAAAAAGAAATGATTAAAGAGAGTAATGGGGAAGATTTAATTATTGCAAAACACATTTGATTACCACTGCTCTCTCTGTGACAGCGCCGTCTTATGTGGCTGTCGAGCCACCTGAAAATCACCTGGCAGGTGGCAACGCAAATATTGTCCATATCTAATGCATCATGCCAAAATAAACTAAGCATATGCTTTCTTATTTTGATTCAGGGAAATTAGAGTTTACAAGTGAAGAAGGAAATTCTTTTGTATCTTCAATTCTTTATGTTTGGGATCATTAGTTATATATATCGACAGTATTTGATTTCAGATTATAAGTTTTTATTGTAATTAGAATAATTAGGTTTTCCGCACCACTAGATTTCGCATAAATGCAATGGGAGGGATTTGGATAAATTCCACAATATTTTAAGTTATATTTTTATTGCTGTCATTATAAAAAATTTTATTAAAAACTAACTATAATAAAAAAAGACACTCATACTGCTATGTAATTTAAAAATATATAAAAAGTGAGCAATAATAATTTTTTGTGTAAATATAATTATAAGAGTAGTTTTTTTATAAATAAAAAATACTAAAGAGAGAAAGAGTATTTTGAGAGATAATTATAGAGATAAAATGGTTCAAAAATTATTTACACTAATGAAGTAATCTCATTTATTAATAGTATAAATAATATAATTTTTCAATTATTTTACTTAAGATAATGATTTGTATTTTTTTAATTATTATGATTAGGAAAATAATGTGAGTTTCTTTTAGATGTTTTAGTTTTTATAATATTAATTAGTGTTTATCATATATTTTTTACTTATATTCTATAAATGTGAAATAATTTTCTCTATTGTAAGGTAATCTTGTTCAAGCCTTTAATAATTATTATGTGTAACAAAACTATATTTGAATCTAACACAACTATAAATTTGAAATTTGAAATTTAGACTAATAGTTAAATTAAAATAATGTTGTCTCAATTCATCTGCACATTCAATAATATCTCTAAAAGGAGTTTAAGTATATTTTTAGAGGTGTTCATGAGTCTAGATAACCCATAAATCTAAATTAACTCAAATCTATTCAATTGCTTTAGATTGGTTAAGTGTTTGGATCAAACCAAACCTAATTCTTTAAAACTCATTCATTTACGGGTTGAGTAGTTTTGATTTTTAAATTCAATCCAATCCGATCTAATTTATATATATAACATATTATTGATTTTATTATATATAATTATATATTTTAAATTAAAAACACAAAGTATCTAAAAGTCATCTCAAACTACATCCTTACCTCATCCAACATACCGGTACAAGAAAATAAAATGTAATTCTTTTTTCATAAGTTGTAAGCATTTAATTTGAATGTTCTGTTTTGTTGTTTGTTTCTATAAGTTTAACATGTTTTAAAAAAAATTCTTTCACTAGATTCAAATAGCATATACATGACCATTTCTTGTAGGACTTTTGCATCAGTTTTAAAGTGATTCAAGCACGTATATTTATTGGTTCAAACTGCATATATAAGCTTTATTTTGAAGCTAATATGTTTTTATATTCTGTTATTCTTTATTAAATAATAGATGATTCCATTGATATAAAATATATATATATATATATATATATATATATTCCATTGATATAAAATATATATATATATATATATATATATATATATATATATATAAGTTTAAATATTTTTTTCTCTCAAATTTAAGATAAAAAAATTTGTTTTTTATTTCTCAAATTTAAAACTGTTATTTTTAGTCTCTGTAAATTTTAAAATTTTGTTTTAGTATCTAAAGTGATAGATTAAGACGAATATGCAACATTATTTGGGTTTAGTATGATATTTTCACTAATAAAGACACCAATCAATAGATTTTATGTGACAACATTTGACAGATTCTTTAATTAAAATTTAAATATAAAAATTAAAATAAGATTTTTTGAAATTACAGGAATTAAAGACCAATTTTAAATTTGAGAAATTAAAAATAAAGTTATTTCTAAAGAATTGAAAACATATTTAATTCAAACATATAAAAGATGTAACGACCCGCCACGGTCTCTACACTTAGTGGAATCGCACTACAACTAGTTAACTAAGAGAATATTAAACTGGATAATACATACATATAGGCATAAATATAAAGATTGAAATAATTAAGTTTCTGTATATAAAATATAGCACCATATATGTACAATCATCCCAAAATATTCCTTAGTGCCGGTCAAGCACTGACAAAAAAAAATGTTACCCAGAATGGTAACTCAAAACACAAGACTCAGCTCCTCGTCTCGCAACGATCACCTCTACTCCCAAGCTATCCCTGACCTGCTCCCATACCAAGTATGATCATCGCAGTTCCACCACATGGAAACAAAAGGGTAAGTTAGAATTCAAAGATCAAGTACAGAATAAAAATATATATTATACATGCATCCCAAATCATGTCCCTAAGGAACATTTTATCTCAATCAATCATTCATTCATCAAACATGAAGTCAAACACCACACTTCATCATATTAATAATCATGCAATAAATGCAACTCATGACAGATATCTATACATATCAATCATCTAATGCGTCGTCACGCATACACCTAGGAGATCTCCATAACAATAGAGCTGTATAAGTGACATTCCATCCTACCGAAACCACCCCAACCGTTTTCACGCCTAATGCGTCCGCTCGGTCACAGCTAAACAGGATATATAATCCTCACTCGGGTTTACTCGGATGATGTCACTTACACACTTGGAAGTCCAGATCCACCGTCAGGTATAGCACAGCTGGGTACGGGCTTACCACGACCTTGGCATGCATTAACCAAGTCAATTGTGGAGTTCGCCCACCGACTATCCGCAAGGATCCACGCACCTTCCCGAGTACTTGGTTAAGGGAATAACCCTCGACCTCATACCCCGCTCCAACACTAGCTAAGGACTTAGAGGAGACTTAGGTGTATGCGTGACGACGCATTAGATGATTGATATGTATGGATATCTGTCATGAGTTGCATTTATTGCATGATTATTAATATGATGAAGTGTGGTGTTTGACTTCATGTTTGATGAATGAATGATTGATTGAGATAAAAGGTTCCTTAGGGACATGATTTGGGATGCATGTATATATATATTTTTATTCTGTACTCGATCTTTGAATTCTAGCTTACCCTTTTGTTTCCATGTGGTGGAACTGCGATGATCATACTTGGTATGGGAGCAGGTCAGGGATAACTTGGGAGTAGAGGTGATCGTTGCGAGACGAGGAGCTGAGTCTTGTGTTTTGAGTTACCATTCTGGGTAACATTTTTTTTTGTCAGTGCTTGACCGGCACTAAGGAATATTTTGGGATGACTGTACATATATGGTGCTATATTTTATATACAGAAACTTAATTATTTCAATCTTTATATTTATGCCTATATGTATGTATTATCCAGTTTAATATTCTCTTAGTTAACTAGTTGTAGTGCGATTCCACTAAGTGTAGAGACCGTGGCGGGTCGTTACAAAAGACATTATTAAACACATGTTTGGAGTGTAAAGTTGTTTGAAATGTGCCTTTATATGCTATCAAAGGAGTATTAATTTTGTTTAAATAAATCAATTAGTTATTTGATAAAAAAAATATGGTATTGTATTATTAGTAGATCAATTAGTTTCAGATTTTATTATTCAGATATTATCAAAAAAATCCTAAAATCATGGAGCATATTTTTTATTCATTTATTTTAATGTATTTAAATATAATTCATATTCAATAAAATAAGACACACTTTGTATTGAAGAATAGAGTTAATTACTTCTTTGTTATGTTATTTTTCTCTATCCTAAGGCTAAAACCAACAATTGGTATGAAGAACCTGTTCTCAAGAGATCGACTTAGATTGAGAGCCTATCATATACACTCCAAAAATCAAAATGAATATGTAAATTGAAAATCTGATTGTTGCACCTCCAGTTTTTTATGGAGAAAATTACCAGATTTGAGAACTTAAGATGTAAGCCTATCTAGAAGTCATAGATCTTTGGGAAGCCATGGAGGAGGATTATTCACTTCCTCCTTTTCTAGACAACCCTACAATTTCTCAAACTAAAATTTGGAAGAAAAAAAAAACAAAAGAAAAGGAAGGCAAGGTCAAAGCATGTTTATTCAATGCTGTATCACAAGGGATTTTCAATAGAATCATGATGATAAAGTCAGCTAAAGAGATATGGGATTTTCTCAAAAAGGAATATGAAGAAGATGAGGGGATCAAAGGGATGAAAGCTCTCAACTTGATCAGGGAGCGAGTTTGAAATGCAAAGGATAAAGTAGTCAAAAACTGTGAAGGAGTATTCTAATCAACTTATCAACATTGCAAATCGAGTTAGATTGTTCAATTATAAGTTTGAAGACTTAAGAATTGTCCAAAAACTTCTAGCTCTCTTCCTAAAATATTTGACTTCATAATCTGTTCTTTAGAGACTTCTAAAGATTTGACAACTATTTTCTTAGCAAAAGTGTTGAGTGTTTTACAAGCTTAAGAGCATATAAGACTCATGACACAAGAAAGCACAATTGATGGAACTTTGCAAGAAAAATCACATATGAATCAAAGAACAAAAGAAAAGAAGAAATAGAGTAAAGATCGAGAAGGAAGTTCAGTGGTAGATCAAGATAACCACCATGTCAACACTACAAAAAGAAAGGTCATTCTCATTTAGATGCCAGAGAATACCCAATGCTAAGTGTAGTGAGTGTAATCAAATTGCACATGAAGTTGTTACACGTAAAAACAAAAATCATCCACATGGTGAATAGTAGTTGTTAAAACAGACCGAGTCGACCTGCTTGGCTTGACTCATCTCAACCCACTTTCTAAATGGGTTGGCCCAATCCG